CCTTTTCCCTTCTTCCCTAATCATACCCACCCCGAAGCTTGGGCTATACCAGCTATACCAATGGTGGACGGTAATAGGGTAGTTGTTAGCATTCCTGCCCCTTTTCCCTTCTTCCCTAATCATACCCACCCCGAAGCTTGGGCGGAAGCCGTTGAAGCTCAAGGATACAGCGCGGGTGACCTTCCCCGCGTTCTTACCTTGCTGCTTCGGAATACGGCGCATGATTGGTTCAGGAAGAACACGTGGGTAGATTGGAATACTTTCAAACAAGCATTCTTGGCTCGATTCGATACGGTCAGTGAAGATGCCGCCTGGTACGTACTCAAAACTCGACCACAAGGACCAGGGGAATTGCTGCCCGATTTTGTGGATCGATTTCAAACCACGTTGAACAAATCTGGGCGAGACGAGAAATCCGCTCGAGACTTGTTCATCGATCACCTACGAAGTCCGACGTTGAAAGGGAAGTTACAGAAAGAGGTCTCGTCGAAGACACACCAGCTATCTGATATCATCGCTAAAGCGTTGGAACAAGATCTGGCTTATACCAAAAAATACATCAGTCAGGGAGATGAAGATATTACGAACACCATACAGGATGTAACGGCTAAACGGCGATCGTGGATGTGGGCGGTAGAACGCTTTTATCCCCGTCCCGACCATGATCTTCCCGATGGGATCACTTCCGACATCCCGCCTGTTTCCTCTTCCTCTCTCCCAACGCATCAGCCGATAGCGGCAGTTAGAAGCGGAATCTTTCACGAACCCCCCTCGCCGACCGTAACCAACTTACATCTCGCCCAAATGATCCATACGGCCACCACCAAGCAGTCCAAATGGATGAGCAACTTGATTCAAATGCAGGCAGCTCACATGGAACGGATGGAACAAATAATGAGCAGGCTAATTAAGCCCAACTCAACCCCTGCTCGACCTGGCCCCGCGCCATTTCCTCTCTTACCTGCCCCGCCTGCACCTGGCTATCCACCACAGTTCCCTCACCCGGCTAATCCAGCAGGAAAGGTCGAGTGTTTTAACTGCAAACAGCCCGGACATTTTGCCCGGGACTGTCCGCAGCCAAAACGTCATCAACCCCCGCCGGCTGCGGCCCCTGTTGCTCTAAACCAAGGACGAATAGCCGCATTGATGGACACGGCCCAAGGAGGAGAACTCGTTGCATATGAGCAACCTTCCCTCTCAACGGCGATAGTGTCAACATCGGGATTTTCTTCCTCTGACGCTGCTGACGTGGTCGATCCACTCGAGTATCTTCACCTAGCGAGCATGATCGGGGCAATCCGATCGGCCCCTGATGATCTGGAATGGGTCGATCGCGATTCTAATCCTGGTTCACAGTTTAGGACGGGCAAAATTGATGTGCTACGAGCGCTCAAGCAACTAGATATCCGTGTTCCGATTCCAGTGGGACACTTGCTCACCATATCTGAAGCTGCAAACGACAAACTGTTACAACAATGTCAGAAGAATCAAAAGCGCTTCACGTACCAGCGCATCCAGCGAATGTTAAAAAAGAAGGAGGAGGAAAGAGAGGATGTGCTGCCACAAGAACCTGAAACGGGTGAACCCGAAGCTGCACAAGTAGTTGCGATCTCTTTAGCAGAGAAGGATCGCTTCGTACGAGCTCGGCGAGTACTATGGAAGAGCGCGGAATGTGATTGTGAAGTTTGGGGCAAGGCGTTTAATGCCCTTATCGACACAGGGTCTTCTGCAGTGGACATATCATTAGACACTATCAGAAAGACGGTGTCGGGGGATCTCTCCCTTGCCGAGTTTTAGGCCTACGACACCCAGGCCGACGTCCTTAGGTCCGAGAGCCTGCCTTAATCTTTGCCTCCTGCCCGAGTTACCCTACTCCGCGTAGAGTTATGGGAGTCTTCCGTACACGCCCAACAAAGTCCGGATTTCTCGCTATCCCAATCGTGGCCGCTTCTAAGTCGGGAGTTACAGCAGGTCCCCGAGACAAGCCGATCGGGCTCCGCCGATCCGGCTGCCTCACTCCGCGCAGGGGGGGGTGATTACAAGCGAGTTCGCCCCCAAGTTTAAAATGGGGAACAGGCGCTCCGAACAATGGTACGGGAAGACAGCACAGCGCGGAGTATGCAAGCAGCTCGGATGGTTATACGAGACTCGAAGCAGACGGTCCGCCGTGCTCACCGGTTGGCACACAGAAAACGGAAGAAAGGGGAAAAGGGAGAAAACAGCACGACGCAAGTGTTGGAGCACTCCTCATTGTCCAAGGACAACCAGAGCTTATATCGGCAGGTAAGAGACAGTCGCACTAAAAGTAGCTTAGTGCGAATATCAGGGCTCGAGACAGTGGTCCGGCCAGGCAGCACGAATGGTCATACGATTCTCTGAGCAGGCATCCAGCCACTTCCACCAGTTAGTGTACCGAAAAGAAAGAAACAACATGACGCAGAGTATGTGGGTTCATCCAAGTACTACCAGGACTTATATCGCCCGATAAGAATAGCCGTACTAGAAGTAACTTAGTGAGAATATCCGGGCTCGAAACAGTGGCCCGTGGGCCGAGCACAGGCCTGGTAGAGTAGTCGAGCCCATAACAAAAGGGCGGCTCAGAGCGAGCATTGGGACTGAGTGCGAAACAAGCCGAATAGAAAGTAGTTCAAAGCGAGCTTCAGAATCAAAAGGGGACCCGGTTGAGGAAGCAGGTCCTTAAGAAAAGCGTTTGTTTCCCCCTTCCCTCGCTCTTTTGGCCTCCTCGGGCCCCACACCTAGCTTCCTAAATTAAGAAGAATGTCGAAAACAAGAGCGCACTCCCGGACCCTGCAGGCCCTAGATTTGGGACCGTCGAGCCCCTTCTCGAGGTCGTACCCGACAGGCTTAGCAGGCGGAGTTCAGAGCCCCCTTGGACAGGCACAGCCGATAGTTTCTGAGTCGACTTGTACAGGAAAAGCTTATATCTCTTTGGAACTGAAAGGCCCTCTTTTCGCGATTACCTCAGACGGACTCCAAAGGCGAGTCACTGGAAACAATTGACAATTTCGGACAGACTCAATGGACATAACACCGAACCGACTCGAACGGAAACAGCTAGTAGCATTTGGAACTGACAGGTCCCCTTTTTGGGGTTATCTCCGGCGGACTCAACAGACAACTCACAGGAACAGCCTATAACCTCAGACAGACTCGTCAGTCCGAAGCTCCCCACTTTCTCCCCCAAAGGTGCAAAGGTCACCAACGAACTGAAGCTGACGAGAGGCACGCACACCGTACTCAGCGAAAGTAAACGTCGAAGCTCCCGCTTCCCCACACAGAAAGATCACAATCAAATTGAAGCTGACCAGCAACTTAGAGGCACATACATCGCTCTCAGCGAACGTAAACGTCGAAGCTCCAGCTTCCCCACCCCGAAGGTGCAAAGATCACAAACGAAGTGAAGCAGGTCAGCAGACAAGAGGTTCGTGCTTCTTACTCAGCGAACTTTACCGGGGAGACCTTCTCTTTCCACTCCGCAGCGTAATGTCAGGGTCCCACCCCGACAACTCTCTTCTTCTTCCCGGAGGTGAGATGCCCAAAATAGGCATCGGCCCGGTGTCGACAGCTCAGTCGCTACTGCTTCCTTTCACACGCTCGGGAAGCCTGGCGTCCGCCTCTTTCCTCTTTCTATCCGACCTCCCCCCCCCTTCGCTTCTCTCGCCCCCCCCCCTTCTTTTGCCCTCTTATCTCTCTCTCCTTGTTCTCTCTCTCTCTCTCCCACTCACTCTCTCTTTCTCGGCCCGCGCAAAAAGCAAGAATAGACCAAGTGTGGCCCATCGTGTTGTCTCCCTCTCTTGGGAGACCTCTCTCCCTTCTCCCAAGCTTGCTCTCTTCCCTTTCTTTTCTCGTTTCTCCCTCCCCCCTCTTGGTTTCTTTCTTCCACAGGTGCAGCCTGCTCGTGAGCTAGTCTCTCCCCCCCCCTCCGATGACCCGGCCCCCGCTCCTGGAAGACCGTTCTCGTCCCGAAGTTATGAGACGTCCAAGCTCACGAGATCCGTTAGGTGCTGACTCTCCGCCGGTCGCTGCGTTCGGTTAGCTCCCTACCCTCTCCTCGTCACGCCGCCCTCGGGCGCTCCTTTCCGCCGCTCTGCAGATGGTATCTTTCGCTCCCCTCCCCCGCGGTCGCCTCACATAAGCCGCCTTCAGCCCTTTACTGCTATCGGACGCTTGCTCCCTCGATCGCCCCCTCTCCATTCCGCCAGGCGCGTGAGTCTTTTGTACGAGAGCTCGCGCTGACGGTCCCCTCCTTCTCGTTGTCTCCCTTCTCGTCGCTCTCCGCCTCGCGGCCCCATGTGGCGCGCTCCGCTCTTCGATCCCCCGAACGGGCATAGCCGGGGCGAGCTTAAAGGTGCGCTCAGCCCAAACCTCGTGCGCCCAACTCTCCTCCCTCTCCGTGCGCCAGAGCGAGCTCCTTCTCCTCGCGATCGCCACTCCTTCGGATCTCCCCAACGCTACTAGAAAGTCTACGTCGAACGACCCCGTGTGTGCGCGTCGACACCGTTCTAGAAAGCGCCGTCTCGGTTGTCCATGACCTCGCAAAGGCGTGCGCTAATCCCGGACGCCCCGTGCGTTTTGAGACCCTCCCCCTCATACCTCCTCTTCTCCCCTCTTATACTCTCGATTCTTTCCTCGCTGATCCCCTCGGCATCCTCCGCACCAATCGCCTTCCTGGGTTTCGATCTCCCTCTGGTTTAGATAACACCGCCCAGCTAGTCAAAAAAGAATACTTTTTCAATTTCCCGCTTCCCGTAAGTGATATCCCGCCCGTTCTTCCATCATCTTTTTACTTCCCCCAATCCTACCTGCCGTCAGCCTCGGCCAATCGCAGCGCGTCTACTTCTCCCTTCCGGATCGCCAAAGGCCCTCGGCGCTCGAGTCTCCTTCCGTCCACCCCACTCGACCCTAGTTCGTCAATTGCGCACTCGGCCCTTGGTCTTCCTTCTCGCCAGTCATCTGTCGGTGGTTGCTTACCCGCCAGACTTCGTTGGAGCTCGCCGCCCTACAGTTATCAAGAACCGTCCGCTCAAAACTTTCTTTTTGTTTCCCTGGTTACGGCGATTACTATTCTTCCCCCGATCTCTCTCTTTCCTTTCCCACCAATCTCGTCCCTCCTCTTGGTCTCTGATCTGATCGCCCCTGCAGATCCCTCTTATTTCGCCACCTGCTCGACGGTTCTGTCCCGCCTTGCAGCTCCGGCTGGGCCCTCAGCAGGTCGTTCGTGTTGATCGGCATTCCGCTGGCAGCCCGCCGCCTGTCCTTGAACGCCAGCTTCCGGAAGTTTTTCGTATTGAATTTGCGTCGAGACTTGCACCCTTTTTTTTCTTTCCGATTGGACCGCTCTTCTCGAGCTACAGGGCATTGCTATCTCTCTCTATGCTCCCTCCCCCTCACCGACGGTGTCCGGCTACCTACCAGCCTCGCGAGAGACCTTCTCGTCCCTCTTGAGGGTTCTCATCAGACCCCGTGGGTTTCCCTTAAACACGCCCGGCTCGCCCTGCCATTCGAAGCTCGGAAGACCCCCTCGGCGAGGATGCGCCCCCTGGCCCTGACTCATCCTGCCTTTGATGCAGCACATAAACCCCTTGGACAGGGAAGCTTGCCACCTCCATCTGCCCCCCTCCTTGGCTCCACTTTTCTGACGAGGCAACGTCCGCCTTCGACAGAGTGCATTCTGTGTAGCTGCAGAGTCGGCCCCCGGGAAGCAGGGCCCCACCATCGCAATTGTACTTAAATCGCCCAGCCTTTCTTTCCTCGTACTTCAGGTCCGTACTTCGGTAGCACCGGCCCACGGCAAGTAGCTCACTCGTCGATACGGTGTCGGGGGATCCTTCCCTCGCCCCTCCTTTCATACCGAAACTCTCCTCCAGCAGTTCTGTCTCCACGCCGATTATCCGACTTGTCACGCAATATCGATTATCTGAATAGAGCTTGCTGTTTGAAAAGAAGCCGCACCACCACCACTTCGAGCGTTTCTCCTATCCACTGCTGCTGGAAGCCCCTGCGAGGTCCGGCATAGCGGTCGTCGGCACCCCTACCTAATATCAGAATTGCCTCGGCTGTCTTGGCATCTCACCTGATCTCATGAATCCGCATACCAGGCCAGATGTGATCACGTCCCGCCGTGCCTACCGCCCGTAGACAGGTGGTCGTTCATAGCCGGGGTCCCCCTTCACAGTCTCTAGATCCGTTCTTGGCGTGGCTATGTGCTCGTTGCTAGTTTCCGCCACTTTCTCGTAGTCAACCCCGACCTTTCACTGGCGCCTCGTCGTCCCGAGTTTTCCATGGAACAGATTTCGGTCGACCTAGAAACTGACGCCGAAACTAAAAAAAACGAAATGATCATCCCCGCCCAATCACAGATGATTGCGATTGTCTTTTCTGTTCGCACCAGCAGTTCTGTTTTTTCCAATGTTTACGATCGAAGGGAGCGGCCAGTTGATTGGATCGATATACCCCTTAAGACCCCTGGGGAATCAACGATCACCCTACCAAGCCACGTCCCCACGGAACTTCGAAAGTCACTAATCAATGTTTTGAACGGTTATGCAGAGGTGCTGAGCGTGCATGATAATGATATCGGCTTGACTAACGTGATCGAGCATGCCATCCTCACAGAAGAACATCCGCCCATTAGCTCCGCACAAATAGCGACCGCTTTTCAGCGGATTAAGAAGTTCGAAGCTAATGGATGGATCGAACCCGCTATAGGTTCATGGTCCTTTCCTGTAGTAATCGTGCCTAAAAAGGCCATAGGGATTCACATTTGTATTGATTATTGAAAATTGAATGATATCACGACCAAAGATGTGTACCCCCTCCCCCAGATTGATGAGTTGTTGGATGCGATTGGGAGTGCCCGATTTTTCAGTAAGTTTGATGTTCGCCATGGGTTCCATCATCTTCTTGTCCGAGAAGAAGATCGTCCAAAAACGGCGTTTGTGCTTTTTTGAAGGTACGTGGCAGTGGATTCGATGTCCGATGGGTATGTTTAACGCCCCCACGACCTTTCAGCGAGCCATGAATATGGCTTTTCATTATTTCGTACGGAAGACTCGTTTGGCGCAGAGTATCATCAACGATTGCGTGATTGTATACATGGATGACATTTTGGTGTACTCGAGTTCCTACGAAGGACACATACAGCACATCAAGTGGGCTCTGCATGCGTTACGAGATGCGGGTTTCAAGGTGGCGCTTGAGAAGTGTCAGTTTTTTCTTACCACCATTTCCTTCCTGGGACACATGGTAACAGACAAGGGGCTCCAACCGGAGCCCCAGAAGGTGGCAGCTGTCAAAGATGCACCGGTGCCTACGACTATCACGCAAGTTCGCGCCTTTTTGGGCCTGGCCTCGTACTGTCGAAGATTTATCAAGGGCTTTGTGGCGATCTTGGGACCCCTCATGAATCTGCTGTGCAAAGATCAGCCGTTGATCTGGACGTCGGAGTGTGATCAAGCGTTCTCGAAACTCAAGGCCGCTCTCATTTCGGCTCCAGTCCTTATAAGACGGGATCCCGAAAAACCTTTTGTTCTCATCACTGACTGGCAGCCGGAGGCAATTTCGGCTATCCTTGCCCAAGTGGGACCAAGTGGACTCGAGAGCGTGGTGGAGTATGCGTCCAAATCGGTGCCCGCCTGCAAGCGCAACTACGCCGCTCCGACGGGAGAATGCTACGCGGATCTTTGGGGAATAAATCACTTTCGCGCTTACCCGTACGGACGGAAGTTTACCTTGGTAACCGATCATGAGCCCTTGTTGGCTCTGAAGAAATCGAAGGATTACTCTGGCATGATCGGGCGATGGGCAACGGTGCTGCAGAGCATGGACTTTGACATCCGTCATCGGAAGCACGAGAGACACGGGAATGCGGACGGACTGACACGACTGCACCGGCCTGAGAAAGTTCCGAAGAGTGAGGAGGTGGTTCCGTGGAACGAACCCGAACAGGAGGTTAGACCTCGGTACGGCCAAGTGGAGATCTTATCCAAGTAGTAAGTGACACGAGGATCAATTTGACTGATTCTACCCTCTCCGCAATTCGGTCCCATCTCTCCTCCTCGGCCATCATAACTACCCCACCTGTCTCTGCAACCCCTTCTTCTCCTACTAATTCTGCCCCTCTTACTTCCTCAGCTTTCTTTGCCACCCTCCCCGATAAATTCAGCTATTTTTGTACGTGTATTGCACGGGTTTATGGGGTCGACTGTCATCGTTTCAAAACCGGGTTTGTCGATTGGATAGAATGTGCCACATGTGTCAATCGTGCGCACGGGGCCTGCGTTTGATATCAGACGAGTAGCAAGGAATGGAGGTGCCCCCTGTGTAGAACGAACCAACTCCCCACGGAGGTTCGATTCGAGGCCGCCCGAACGGACGGCCCTGAATACGACGAAAAATACCGACGAGCGGAGGTTTGGACGGATAAAATTTTATTGGCGAAAGTAGCTGGATTATCATTGGGACACCTCACCAAACACGACAGACGTAGGGCAACCGAGAGATCTTAGGACTATCGGTGGATCAACGGTCATTTGGAGAAGCATAAAACTGGCGGATCGGGTTCGTGGTTGACGGTTCCCCATCCATTCCAGAGATATGATTGGATCCGATCTGCTCATGAAGAACAGGCCGCTCATTTCGCGATACGTGTCACAGAGGCAACTATAGACCAGAACCGATGTCCAACATACGAGATGATGTCAGATACATTGTCGCTAACTGTCTGGTCTGTGCCGCTAATCGCGCCCCAATACGGGGACCAAACACGATAGTACCAACGGAAGTAGAGCGCCCCTTCCAGCGCGTCAGTATGGACACAACAGATATCGACGTGCTTCTTGGCCCAAATCGCTGTGAATATTCTATCCTGTTAGTGTTAATAGACCATTTTTCCAAGTACATCGAGGTCTATCCCTGTAAGACCCGAAAAGCCGCAAAAATAGCTACGTACATCGAACGGTTCCTCTATACTCATCTAGACACAGAAGAAATTCTAACCGGCAATGGGTCCAAATTTAAGGGAGAAGTAGAGGAACTGCTCGCACGAAGGGGTGTCACGCTCCGACATACGGCACCCCACATATCCCAGTCGAATGGGTTGGGTGAGAACGCCAACTGTATGATTAAAACCGCCCTTCGCAGGAATTTAGCGGCACACGACACGCGTCCGTGGCCTGAGATCGTATATCAGATCATCGGGATCCACCGGGCCACCCCTCACGAATCCACGGGGTTTACCCCCTTTCACCTTCGTACTAATAGCCTCCCCTGTGTCGACTCCCGGGGTAACTCGAAAATTGCTGAAGCAGGGGGTAGAGACACGCGTACAGCCCTCAAGGCCAAGGCCAAAAGGTACACCGAATTAATGGAGCGGGCCGTTCCGAAGCTGGCCCGAAAAAGGCAAAGGATGATCGATCTGGCCCACGGTAGGCAGGTCCGTAGCTACGAGGCCCGGAATGGAAATGCTAGGCCCCAACATCAATATAAATTAGGGGACCTAGTGCAGGTACGTAAATGTGCACGCGACCAGAAACTCGCTCCCAAGTTCTCTGGCTGCTTTCGCATTGTCGAGCTCGGTCCTAACGGCGCCAACACAGTACGCATCGCGCCTGAGGCCAGTGCCAGCCATAGCTCTGTCCCCATCGTCCGGCATACCTCCTACCTTCGTCTTCTCCCTCCCTCTCATCTTCCTCCTTCTCCCTCCTCCGACAGCGAGGAGAACGACGACGATCTAACTCTCTCTTCGCGCTCTCCCTCCTGCCCTTCGTCTTCCTCTCCGACCTCGCCATGAGTTTCATCACGGAGCGGGCTCTTGACGAACAGTTGTTGCAGCCACGTGGCCACATCTCAGAAATTCGGCAAGTTCGTCATCCGCGACTTAATATGGATCTTTGGCGATTGGCGCAGTTCTTCTGCGACGTGGGTGTGTGTGTCGCCGCCGCATTTCGAATCGAAGGGAGTCCACGCGCAGTGGTATTGGCGGAGGTAATCGCAGTTCATCGGCGAGCGGCTCCCGGAACGAGCCACGTCACCACGGTTGCAGCGTTCAGCGGTGATATCAGTTCAGTCAACCCACGGTGGCATACCGCGATCTTGGCTTCGCTGCAAGAGTGGACGGAGCAGGTCTCCAACGTGTGGCAGCACGGTCTCGCCCGACCAGGGCACAATCTCCTCCTGACCTTTGCACCGAATCTTGGCAACATCCGCTGTTCTCCGCGCGAGCCGCGAATTGCGATCCCCACCCTCGTCCCCTTCCCACGTCCCCAATGAACCACGTCGATCCCCTCGCTCCTCTCTCCATCTTCGGTCTCCCCTCTCTTTTTTCCACCTTCTGGCAATCCGATCTTCATCCTTCTCTTTCCTTCTCGTTCGAACCTCTCTCTGTCCCGCTTATTAACCCTGGGCATTGGCGGCTGTGGCGCGAAACTTTTAACGAGTTGTCCTTCTGCCTGGCCCGAGTACAGGTGACGTGGACGAAGACCAGCGAGCATCCTGCGTGGATTGAAAATTTGGAACTGCTGATCATACAAGCTTGGAGGACAAACGTTGAGGGCGATCTTCTCGGCTTTCTCTTTGGATCGGTACGGTTGGGCCGCCACCAGTTGATTGCGCAGGAGCTCATCGCGTCGATCGTGCAATTGGCGGACGACCTCTCGCCCGACATCTATTCGCAAAGCGACGACAGCCCTGCTCCGTACGTTCTCGAGCGATCATTGGATCCGTACCTTCAGTGGACTGTGTGCTTGGAGGAGCCTAGGGACGAAGATACTCTACCATCATGGCAGGAGTATCTGAAGCCTTACGACATCATCCCTCACGCCTTCTATCCGAAGGCGGAGGAAGTGGTGATCGACGACGACGAAGAAGACGACGACAAGGAAACATCGGAGGAAGGAAGCTATAGCGAGTATAGCGAGGGCGAGCTGAGTGAAGAAGAAGAAGAAGAGGAGGAAGAAGAAACCGGATCTGAGTGGGAAGCCTTGCCGGAGGAAGCGGAGCATACTGGCACGGAGGCAGAGCATCCTGAGGCCGCACGCAAGCAGGAAGAAATTGCCACTGGGAAACGCCAGCTGGAGTTCGCCAGTGGAGCCAGCTTGCGCATCGGTAACGATCCGACCAGGGATCTGGAGCCACCGAAGCCCGAACATGGCGACCCAGCAGCCGCCACCTCAAGCACCGCGCAACAGCGACGGAGCCGATCCCCCTCCTCCTCCAGCCCCACCCGTCCCCCAGTTCGCCCACGTACCGATGCGGGCAATAGGCCTTCGTCCTCGAACGTTAACCCGCCGTCCCCTTGATTTTCTCACTCTCGAACAGATCCGCACCCCCGTCACCTTCCCCCCCCATCCCTTCCTTCCCCACCTCTTCCACGACTTCTACTCGACCCGCCTACTCGCAACCGTCTACCCCCACCCATCCCTTCAACCCGTTGCCCCCACCTTCTGGTGGCATATCTTGTTGTTCAGCGCTGCATGGGAGCAATGCAACGTGGTAGAAGTCTACTGCGTAGCTACGGGGACAATCCCCGCCTATCGCCACTACGAACTCTTTCGAGCGGCGCTCCTCCGCACCCTCTCCTCCTTCTATCGCGACTACCTCGCTTCCCTCCCTCACAGCGGCAATCACTTTCCTCGCTTCCACCGGATCATCCGATATGAGGAGCTTCCGGTGACGGTAGAAGGGATGAATCGCTACCTACCCCCACTTCCTCCCCGTTGTCCCCGTGGGATCCCCTCCATGTACCGCCTCTACTGGCCCATTCCAA